TATATATGTTTTGGGTGCTTTCTACCCCCGTGTGCCACAGAGCTGGGGACCCCCATGGCCACGTGGGCGGGGGCTCCTCCTGACACCCCTGCTTCTCACCCAGCCTCCAGCAGCCCCTCTCCTCGCTCCCTGCCCCCGCTCTCCTCCTCCCCCTCCCTCGGCTCCCCACCTCTCTCCCCTTGCCCCTCCTTCCTCCCTCTTTTCCTCCCACCCCCTCCCCCTCCCCTCCTGTTCTCTCACTCCTCCTCCTCCTTCCCCACTTCCCCCAAAACTGGGGACCCTCCCTCCCTCCTTCATTCCTCTTCCCATCCCTCCCCTCCCCTCCTCTCCCCTGCTACCCTCCCCTCCTCACCCCTCCCCAGGGCCCCTCTTCCCCTCCCACCCTCCCTGGCGCCCCTCCCCTGTCCCCTGTGGCCCTCCCCTCCTCACCCCTCCCCAGGGCCCCTCTCCCCTTCCCCGGTGCCCCTCCCCTGCGGCCCTCCCGCCTCTCCCCTGCGGCCCTCCCCTCCTCGCCCCTCCCCAGGGCCCCTCTCCCCCGTCCCCTGCGGCCCTCCCGCCTCTCCCCTGCGGCCCTCCCCTCCTCGCCCCTCCCCAGGGCCCCTCTCCCCCTCCCCGGCGCCCCTCCCCCATCCCCTGCGGCCCTCCCTCGTCTCCCCTGCGGCCCTCCCCTCCTCGCCCCTCCCCAGGGCCCCCTCCCCTCCCCCCGGCTCCCCGGCGCCCGCCCCTCCCTCCCCCTCCCTCCCTCCCTCCCTCCGCCCGCCGCTCCCTGCCCGCCCGCTTTGTTGCCCGGGCTTGTCTGCGCCGGGCGGGCGTCGCCGGGCGGGCGGGCGGGCGGGGGTCCGGGTCACGTGCGTTGGCGACAACCTGTGGCCGCGCGGCCCCGGGGCCCCCGCGCTGCCCATTGGCGGGCGCCGGGCGGGCGGGGCGGCGCGATCAGCTGTTCCCGGCGCCCAACAAAGGAGCGGCCGGACCGGACCGGGCGCCGGCGGGAGCGGAGCGGAGCGGAGCGGGCCGGACCGGGCCGAAGCGAACCGAACCGAAGCAGCCGGGCCGAGCCGGGCCGAGCCGAGCCCCGCCCGCGTAAGTGTCCGGCCCGCGCCCTGCCCCGACCCCGACCCCGACCCCGACCCCCGGCCCCGGTTCCGGCCCGGTCCAGGCTGCAGCGCCCGGGCCGGCCCACCCGCCTACCCCGTCCCGCCCCCCGGCGTCCCCCGGACCCCCGGTCGAGCGCTGGGCTGCAGCCGCGCAGGGGGTCCCCGCGTCTCCCAGCGCCCGGCCGCGCCCCTCGCTAGCCCCGGGGCCTCCCTGCCTGCCCCGAGCCGGGTGTGAGCGAGACCCGAGCAGGGGCCAGAGGAGCCCCGGAGTCCAGGGGTCCCTGCGGGCCGGGACACCCCGGGGTCCTCCTGTCCGGTGGCTGCGCCTCCCGCTCCGCCCAGCTCGGGGGAGCCCCGGCCACCGGGCCCGGCCTCGTGTCCACCCGGAGGCCGCCGCGTCCTGGCCAGGGAGCCCTGGGCAGCCTGGGGCCAGCAGGTGTGTGGGCGGGCAGCGAGCGGCCACCTGGGCTTGCGCCTGCTGGTCGCGCAGGGCCCGCGGGTGGCGGCTCCCACGTGGCCCCCCGCGTGGTGGCCAGAGCCCGCAGCGCCCTGTGGGCTGCAGTTCCGCGGGAGCGGAGCTGGGACCCCCAGCCTGGGCCAGAGCCCCCTCCCTCAGTAGATGCGGGGACCCTCCATCCTCAGCTTGGCACCTCACCCCCACTTGGGGGACACACAGGGGGCTGGGTACCCCGGGCCAGCACCAAGCCCAAGTTCTCAAAAACGCGTGGGAAAGCGCGGGTACCTCCACCCACCGCCCAGCCTCAGCCTCCCGGGTGGGCCGGGACCCAGTGCAGGAGAACAATAACAAAAGGAGCCAGAAGTAGGCAGAAAGACACCCCGTGGGGAGAGAGGATTGGAACAAAGTGGCCAGGACTGACACAGATTGCCACAGAGCGAGTCATTGTAACCATCTTCCTTCCTCTTCCGTTTTCTCTGGGGTGGGTCTCGTTCATCGGCTGTTGAGAAGGATATTTGGGGGTGGTGGTGGTGGTGGTGGTTGGGTTTGGGATTTTTGTGTTTCTTTTGGGTTCGCGGCCCCTCCTGGCTCTACTTCTCGGGAACCACTCCTGGTGGAGCTCAGGGGGCACCATATACGGGGTGCCGGGGGGGATCGAACCCTGGTTGGCCTCGTGCAAGGCCAGTGCCCTTCCTCAGCCCTGTTTCTGCTGGGTCCTTGGAAGGGATGGTGTTTGAAGGGGGGTGGGTGGCGAATGGGCCAGGCGCTTGCTGATGAAACTGCTTTTACTTTCTGTTTCTGGGGCACAACCTCCCCCCTCCCCTCCCCTCCCCGGCCAGGTGCTTGTGGAGACCCTCAGAAAGTTAACAGATGCTTCCGGAACAGCTGGGTGTGTTCCCCTCCCCCCCCCCCAGCCCACTGCTTCTTTGCAGTGTCCTAATCCCGAGCTGTGCTTTTGAAGATCTGGCCCTATGAGATGGTGCTTAGCGCTTTCTGGAACGTTCTCTTTGCTTGCCATCACCTTAGACTCGTGAATTGTGTGTGGAGGGGTGGGGTGAGGAGGGTCTGCCTCACTGTGGAGGCACAAGCAGGACTCGCTCCCTCCCTCCCCCCCAGCTGTGTGTGGTTGGTTGAGCGGGTTGGGGGTCCCTGGGGTCAGGAGGTGCCGTGAAGGGGAGTGGCCGTGGCCGTGCTTCAGGCTCGCCGTGGGCTTCTCCAGAACGGCAGCGTCTGGCCAGCAGACACGTGACTCGTGTGTTTGTGTGCGTCTGCCAGAGGCTGCAGGGCAGAGGAGAGGCAGGTGCAGGCCATGCTGGTGCGTCCGTCTCCCTCTCACCCTCCGCCTCGAAGCCCACGGGAGAAAGGCTGAGGCCCAGGGGAGCGCTAACAGCCGCAGGGCGCTCGCCTGGCATGCTGCCAGCCCCAGGGCGGTCCTCGGCACCCCAGAAGGCCCCCCCCAGCCCCACCAGGAGTGATCCCTGAGCACGGAGCTAGGAGTCAGCCTTGGCCCAGGAGGGGGCCCCCATCTGGCGGTGCTCCCTGCTTTGGGGGTTCCCCAAACCAGGGCCCAGGGGACACCGCACTTGCCTTGGCGTTCCGGAAGCCTGGGGTGCGTGGAAGACGATCCCACTTCTTTCTCGGGGAGAAGGAGGCCAGGCAGGGACGTGTGGGCTGCGCCAGGGATACTTCCCGTTCACCCCTGGGTAATGGTCAACAGGCGGGGACAGCCGGTGGCTGACGACATGGGCTCGCATAGCATCTGCATCACTGCGGCCGTCCGTAGGGTGACCGCGTGGCCGCCTGGGCCAGAGAGCGGGACTGGGTCCCCTCGGCTTAGGTGTAAATCCCTTTGGGATGGGAACAGACCCGAGCGTCTGGGACTCTGCTTGTGCCCGGAGAGGTGCCACCCGGCAGGTGAGGCCAGCACCCGCCCCCACCCAGTCTGTGCCCGCAGCATCCCATACTCAGTTGCCTCCCCCGGCCTGAGCCCCGGGATCCCACAGCCCAGCAGGTCCAGATGGTGCCCGTGCCCCTCCCCCATCCGGCACCAGCCAGGCCATACCAGGGGGCCAGCCGCACGGCCCCTCGAGGTCGGGTTCCAGACTGGACTCCTGACCCCCGCTCCCAAAGGTGCCCCAACCCCGCACCCTACCACCTTCCTATCCCCCTCCTCTGGTCCTGCTGATGCTTGGCTGCCCCTTGTGGCAGTGGCCAGTGGCTGCACGAGACTTCTGCCCCCAGCAGTGGCAGGCACTCTCTCCTGTGAGTGTGGCCCTGGGCCAGGGTGGTGGGAGTTCTCAGCAGTGTCGTGTCACTGCATCATCAAGAGGCTGGGATTCTGGGGGGGGCGGGGGGGGAGAGCGATGGGTAGGCAGAGCCCGAGGCTAGCTGGGGTCCCCAGGGCCCTGGAGACGTTGGGTGAGAGGTGAGCGGGAGGGGAGCAGGTCGGAAGCCAGAGGTGTTGGGTACGCGCTCCTGAGGGGCTTGAGTCGCTGTTGGGGGGTGTTGGGGGCGAGTGCAGAGTTGTGTAGTGTGCGTGTGTTTCAGGGGTGTGCGGCGCAGCAGTGAGGGCACTGGCCTGGGACTTGCCAACCGGGTTCACTCCACAGCATCCCATGAGGCCACCCCCCCCCCCCCCCCGCGCCCGGTGCTCTCAAAGGCGCTCACTCAAGCCGTCTCGCGTGGGGAGGGGGGGCATGCCCAGGAGACTTGTGGCATGTGCCAGGGTTGTCCCGTTCCCTGGGTCACAGCTTGGGCATGGCCGGCCAGGTCAGCCAGGGGAATGGCCTGGGGGCCACAACCTGGCAGGACTCAGGGCTCACTCCTAGCTCTGGGCTCCGAGGACCATGTGGGATGCTGGGGATCAAACCCGCGGCACGCGCCCTCCCTGCTGCACTGTTGGAAGTAGAATTTTGACTTGTCCTCGGGCCACCTTTCAAGTTGTGGAGAGGAAAGGCCGCAGACGGGACTTGTGGAACTGTGGTCCCCCGATGCCGTGACTGCCCTCCTGGGTGCCGCCTTCTGTGCTCTCCCGGCAGAGCTGGGACTCGCCCATCCCACGCTCCTGAGGGAAAAGCACGGCTGGGAAGAGGAACCAGCTTGTTTCTTTCGGTTGGGTTCAGGACCCAGGTTGCGTGCGCGGTTCCTGGGGTTGCATCAGGGAGGGACGCAGTGGCTCGCGTCAGAGTAGCTCTGAGAAGTTGGCACAGGCGTGCGCACGTGTGCTTTTAAAACCATCCACGGGGGGCTGGAGAGACTTTGCAGCGGGCGGGCACTGGCCGAGTCCCTTCACCGCATCAGACCCTCCGAGCACTGCCAGGAGAGATCCCTGAGCACTTCCTGATGGGGGTTCAGAACAAAATTAAACCGTGCAGGCACATGTAAGATAAATGCGTGATGATCTGACGAGCCCTCTCTCTCTCTCTCTCTCTCTCTCTCTCTCTCAGGAACAATGATCCCCCCCGCCGTTCCCCTCAACTGAAGAAGCACCGCCAGCACTTTCTCTCCTGCCCGGCACCTGCTGAACTGTCAGGGTTTCAAAATCTCAGCGACCAAGAGCCAAAATCTCACTCTTGCCTTAACGATGTTCCAGAGACTGAACAGAATGTTCGTGGGCGACGCGGACGTGTCTTCCGGCCAGGAGCCCGAGTTCCGCGAGCAGGAGGACGAGGAGTGGGTCCTCGTGGATTTTCTCGGTAAGGGGCGGGTTCGCGCAGGTGCGCCAGGATTGCCGACGACGACGGTTCCAAAGGTTCCGAGAGTGTCGGGTAAATAAACATGATCCTGTACAGGGCAGAAGAGCAGGAAACGTCCCGTGCAGGAAACGTCAGTGGAAGCAGCCCACAGCAGACTTGGCCGTTTGGCGAGTCAGACGCATGAGTGGGGGACCCTCCCGTTAGAGTGAGCACACCCCCACCCACCGCACACATGCACACACGCATCAGCTTGATTCAGCAGAACGCAAAGGGGCCTAAGGCCATTGCCAGGCCTGCTGGCTCCATGCACACAGGCGCCCACAGATGCACATGGGCACGTGCGTGCGCGTGCGCACACACACACACACAACACACACACACACACAAACACAGACCTGTGCACTCAGAAATTGTGGTCCGGGGTCAGAGCAGTCGTACAGCAGGCAGGACTTTTGCCTTGTATGTGGCTGACCTGGGTTTGATCCCTGGCATCCCACATGGTCCCCCGAGCACGGGCAGGAGTAATTCCTGATCACAGAGCCAGGAGTAAACCCTGAGCATCGCTGGGTGTGGTACCCGCCCCCATCAAAAAAAAAATAAGATGAAGAAATTGTGGCCCAGTCATTGTCAGCGGGAGGGCAGGGGGCCCAGCGCCCTGGGTCTGATCTAAGTAAAGGACAGTCGTGAGCTTCGGCTAACAGTACCGCCCCCTCTTTCTTTGTGCTGTGACTTGGATCTGTCCCGGAAACGCTCCTCCCGGCCCGCCTCCCGCAGACACTTGCCCTGCTTTTTCGGCCGAAGACGACGACGAGGAAGAGGCAGACATCGGGGCCGAGCCGCCCCCTGACCCCTCGGCCATGTTCTCCTGCCTGCCCGCCTCCCTGGAGTGCCTGGCCGAGGCCAGCGAGTCCTGCTTCCTGGAGGAGAGCTGGTTCGTCACGCCGCCACCCTGCTTCACGGCCGCGGGGGGCACCGCCCTCAAGGTAGAGACCAGCCCCCTGGAGAACCTCCTCATCGAGCACCCCAGCATGTCCGTGTACGCCGTGCACAGCGCCGGCCCCGAGGAGTTCCCGGGCCCCAGGTACGGGGTGCAGGAGTCCACGAGGTGGTTGAGTGTTCTGGTTTGGTTTGGGTTTTGTTCTGGGGGCCACCCCCGGAGATGCTCAGGGCTGACTCCTGGTGGTGCTCGGGGACCCAGTGGGATGTTGGGGAAGCGGAGCTTGAGTCTGGCGCCTTAGACCACTCGGCCATCCTGACACCCCTTATTTTTTATTTATTTATTTTTGCTTTTTGGGTCACACCCAGCTGATGCTCAGGGGTTACTCCTGGCTCTGCACTCAGGAGTTACTCCTGGCGATGCTCATGGGACCATATGGGATGCTGGGAATCGAACCCGGGTTGGCCGCGTGCAAGGCAAACGCCCTACCCGCTGTGCTCCAGTGGGATGTTGGGGTTGGAGTCTGGGTCGTCGGCCGCGTGCAAGGCCAGCCAGCGCCCTCCCTCCGGCGCCTCCTTCTGGGTCCGGGAAAGCCGTAGCTGCAAGCCCGCCCTAAGCGGTGGCAGCAGGAGGCTCAGAGTAGGGAGCGTGGTCGAGGGTGCTGGCCCCCGCCTCTGGCGGTGTGGAGCCAGGATTGCCCAGGGCAGCGCAGTCGGGCTAGTAACCACCACCAGGCCATCTTCTCTTCCTGCTGTGCTTCCAGTGGGCTCGCCCGAGTGGCACTCAGCCCCACCAGCCTGAGCCCCCTGACCAGGAAGCACAGGGGCTTTGTTACCCAAATCCCCAAAACTGTTGCTCAGAGAGTTGCCATCTGCCACAAAAGCGGTGCTTGCTAGCTTGCTTGCTTTTTCTTTCTCTTTTTTTTCTTTTCTTTTTTGCTTTTTGGGTCACACCCGGCAATGCTCAGGGGTTACTCCTGGCTCTGCACTCAGGAATGACTCCTGGTGGTGCTCGGGGGACCCTATGGGATGCCGTGGATTGAACCCAGGTCGGCCGCGTGCAAGGGAAACTTCCTCCTCGCTGTGCTATCGCTCCGGCCCCATTGAGGCGCTTGTATACCCGCAACTTGTCTTCCTGTGGCCTGGGAGAGGGGATCCCCGGTGGTCTGGCAGCCGATGGATTGACAGCCTGGGAGATGCCAGGAGGTGCCAGGGAAGCAGAGATGGTCGGTCCAGAGTGAGCCGAGAGGCAGCCTGGGGTCTGTGGTGCAGCCGCCGGGGGCCGGGGAGTTGAGGGTCCAGCACTAGCTCAGTCTCTGCCCTGAGTCGAATTTGCCGGTGAGGGGAACCCTCAGGAGTGGTTCTGGAGACCGTGCCCTGTGCGGTCACCTGTATAGCGGGTGTTTGAGTGACCCAGCGTCCAGCTCTCGGGACGACAGCGTTACAGACGGGCGTCCCCAGCTGCCTGTTCCTTAGCTCTTCCCCGACTTGCTACTCTCCGGGGTCTTGCCACGCGGCGCCTGGTGGTCCTGGGCCCCTTGGGGGAGCACTCGGACTCAGGCAGGCTGAATCGAGAGGTTCCATCCAGCCGGGTGTCCTAAGGGCTGCGGACCGCCCCCCACCCCCCATCCGGCCCCAGAGAGTCACGTGCTTGGTGTTTGCTTTGCAGTGTTTGAAATGTGGGTGTGTGTGCGCATGGCCAGCGGCATGAATTACCCACAGAAGCAGCACGCGTGTTACCTGCCGTGAGGAGCTGCAGGTCCTGAGCCACAGAACAGCGGGTCGGGTTCTATTCGAATGCAGCTGACCCAGCTTTGAGCCCCAGGACCCCACCTCGGCCCCTGAGCCTCTCCAGGAGTGACCCCTGAGTACTGCTGCATGTGACCCAGAACCACACCCCAAGCCCAACCCCCAGCAACCCTGTGAAGACGCAGGAGTTAAAAATGACGCCCTCCCGCCTCGAGGAAACTCCTCGTGCTGCTTCCTCGCCCCAGACGACTCTCTCGAGCCCCTTCCACCTGGGGTGTGTTTAGAACCTGCCACCTTACGTGGGATCTGTTTTGTTCCTCGCTTGTTTCTGTTTTCCAGTAAAATTTCACTTCATCTACTATATGAACTCTGTTCCGTTTTCCCCACCACGACCCAGAATATTGCATGGAAAATATTCTGTGTTGGGCAGGGCGTTTGCCTTGCACGCAGCCTACCCAGGTTCGGTTCCCGGCATCCCATATGGTTCCCCGAGCACCGCCAGGAGTCATTCCTGAGTGCAGAGCCAGGAGTAAGCCCTGAGCATTGCCGGGTGTGACCCCCCCAAAAAAAAGGAAACAAAAAAAACAGAAAATATTCTGTGAGCTGACCCAGGGCACTCATCCAGTTTCACGTCTACAGTTTCTTAGTTTCTTTTCTTTCTTTCTTTCTTTCTTTCTTTCTTTCTTTCTTTCCTTCCTTCCTTCCTTTCTTTCTTTCTTTCTTTCTTTCTGCTTTTTGGGTCACACCCGGCGATGCTCAGGGGTTCCTCCTGGCTCATGCACTCAGGAATTGCTCCTGGCGGTGCTCAGGGGACCATCTGGGGTGCTGGGAATCAAACCCGGGTCGGTCATGTTGGCTGCATGCAAGGCAAACGCCCTCCCCGCTGTGCTATCGCTCCAGCCCCTACAGTTTCTTTTCTTGGTTAGTTTGTTTGGAGGATCCACATCTGGCTCTGTGCTCAGGGATCACTCCTGGAAGTACTCAGGGGATCATATGTGATTCTGGGGATCAAGTATGGGGTGACCACCTGCAAGGCCTTACCATCTCCGTGCCATCCCTCCGGCCCTACGTTTGCAGTTCCGACGCAATGCAAGTATTCATTCTTTGGCATCTTTTATTTCCCCCCTGGATATTTAGATATACGAGATGGCAAACCAAAAAAAAAGTGCTTTTCCTATATATATATATATAAAGGATCAAAAAACATACTGTAGGTGAATTTATCCTGAACACAAAGTATAAGTCATTCTGGTTTATAATAGCTGCATGTTTACTGTTCTTATTTTCTTCTTTGAAACTCTCAGAAGACCCACACTCCACCCAGGTAGAAATCAGGTGTGGCTGTTGGGGAAGGGGGGGGGTTGCCTGCGTGTCTCTATCCTAGGGGCAGGAAATGTGGCTTTGAAACTGGCTTCTGAGCTGGTGTGTGTGTGTGTGTGTGTGTGTGTGTGTACGTGCATATCCATTCATGTGTGACTGCATGCATGCATGTGCGTGTGTGAGCCAGGTGCTCCCTGCCAAGCGCTGGCCTTCCGTGGGTGCCGGCCTTGGCGTGGCTGCCTCCTGCAGGAGCGCAGGGCCTGGTGAGCGCGAAGCAGTGGGCGTCTCCTAGCGCTAGGATCAAGGAGCATTTCCTCTTACCAGTGATTTAATAGTTCGCCATTTAACGTTTGTAGGGCCAGGAAAAGCTGCTTGTAAGACTCCGGGCGCAGAGTAAGTATCTCCTCGGGGACCGTGTGCGACCCCACGCGGGGCGCGGCCTCCCCGCCGCGTCTGAATCCCCTTTTCCTCCTGTTCCTCCACTCTCTTGCTCTGACGCTGTTGAAGAGCATTTCCCTCTCGTGGCTGTCGGCCACGTGTGTAACTGTCCTTCCCGTGTCGAATTCTCCTTGCCCTGGGCTGCCTCTTCGTGCTTCTCGGTGGTGTGTAGCACACTCCCGTCTGATACGCCGTCATGGAGAAAGCAGACTGGGCCGGGGCGGGTGCACGCAGGGAGGGTGCTGGCCTTGTACCCGGCAACTCGGATTCTGTCCCTGCACCCTGTAGAGTCCCCCGAGGCCTGCCAGGAGTGATCCCTGAGCACAGAGCCAGGAGTAAGCCCTGAGCACCAAAACAAAATTAAAAAAGAAAATATACCGGATGGTTCTGCATTTCCATGGCCTTCGGACTATTGCCTCGCGGACTCACTGACCGCGTGCTCCTAGTTCATCCAGTACAGAGGCCTGTCTCCTAGAAAACGGCTTTCAGCCTTCCGACTGATCAGAGGTTGGCTGTCGGAAACCGCTGTTCTAGAATGTTCTTGTGGCCGATGATGGTGCCGCGGTGCCTGCGGCCTCGGGAGGGGGCCCTTAGGACCGTGACTCACCCGTGTCACGGCTTTCTGATCTGGAAAGTCTGGGAATTCAAATGCTTTTGCTTGCGCTGCTGGAGGCCCAGCCTGATCCCTAGGACCCCCGGGGGTCCCCTGAGCCCTGCCCGCAGGGCCTGGGGGCTGCCCAGGCACCAGCAGTTACCAAGCCACTTTTGCGGGATGAGAATGGAAGTGCGTGTTTGCAAAGCAGCTGCCTGGGGCTTCTCGGGGCAGATCTTACTGCCCCTCCGAGGGAAGCTCAGAACGAAAAGGGGTTGGAGTCCGGAGAAGGTGGGGGTGCCCAGGGGCGGGGGTGCTGAGGCCCGGGACTCCCTGCCCGGCTCGCTGTCCTCACGTTGACACTGGCGCGTACCACCGGTGGCTCACACTTGGGTGTCCCACCAGAGAGACAGCCGCGACTGAAACGGCTCTGTCGCCAAAAGCTCATGTTAGCTTTGGTTTGGGCAGCAACCAGTCAAGCGGATCGACACGTGTCGGTGGGTTCATGAGCCCCCCGCCGGGTAAGGGGTGCTTCCCACCAGTGCAGACGTCAGGCGCAGGCTGTCTCGGTTTCCGTTGTCGGTTTTCAGTCCCCCCCGCCCCGGTGGCTTACTAACACGCCCACGCCACGCTTCTCTGTTGCAGGGGCGACGCCGCGAGCGACGTGGGCCAGCACATCCACTGCTACGTGGCCACCCTGGCCGCGCAGACGGCGTTCTTGGAGCCGCCCAAGGGCCTCCGCCCCGCGCAGTGGGTCCGAGAACACAGCGAGAGACAGTCTCTGAACCGGAACAGCCTCCGCCGCCACAATCTTACCAGGGAGTGCCACTCCCGGCATGCCAGGCACAGTGGCTGGGCCGTGCACCAGCCCTGCCCGCGCCAGTTCAATTACTGAGCGGCCGCCCCCGCTCCGCATGGCCCTGGGGTCTCCCTGCGGGGCGGGGGTGGGGGAACAGCGGAGACACTGTCCCCCCCCCCCCCCAAGCCACCTGAGGCCCCGCCGGCCGCCACCTGGACTCAGCTGCTGGTGCGACGTCCAGCGCCAGGGCCGCACGCCACCTAATGCCTTGCCCTTTGACCTCGCCAACTTTTGTAAACTCTTTGTAGACTCTTTTTGGAAGCATATCGATGCAATGACAGCGTCGGGTGCTCGGTGGTCTCTCGGGCTGTCGGGGGGAACCTGAGTAAGCGTTCTGAAGGCGTTTCTTCCCCGTCCCGGGGGAAGGGAGCATCTCTCCACTCCAGCCTCTCTGGTGTCACCAAATCCGTCTCATGAGGAAGCAGCGGTGTATTCTCAGGGCCAGCCACACGCTTTCGTGACCAATACTTGACCGTCTCTCCTGTGTACCGCAGACACACGTTCCACACGAACGCGGGCATTAGCAGGCCGGCTGGACTTGCTCCTGGAGGGAGACTCGACCTGTTTCTGTGTGTCCGGTGTGGTTTGGTGAGGCCCGCAGTTCACTCTGGAATTCAGGTACCTTCGGCTGGAGCAGACAGGCTGTGTGATGGTGACACGTGGGACAGACCTCACAGGCCTGGTGGGAGCGACCACGGCCTCGGCAGCGGGGGCGGGGGTGTGGAAGGGTGAGCCCAGGCCGGGGCGTGCAGGAAAATGTCTCCCACGCCCAGTAGCACAGCTGGCTGTGCCCTGTGGCCGCCGTCCATCCACTGTGGATTTACAGGGACTCACCCGGACCTCAGGGTGACACCTTTCTTGGCTCCATGCGCCCGAGAGTGGCCAGCCGGGATCCGTGTGGCCCGCCTCCCCCGGGGCTGGGGGTGAGGCCCCCCTCGTGCCCATCCCCACAATACGGCCCTGCATTGGTGCTCACAAGGCACGGGTGGGAGATGCCCCGGGCTCTCACCCTGCGTGTGTTTTGTGGGCACCCAAGGGGCCTCCTGAGCCAGCCACACGTGCGCAGCCCTCCTGCCGTGTCCTCTGCCCTTCAGTGAAACGCGCTTCCAACCCAAAGCACACAGTCCCCAGCGGCAGAGCCTCTCCCCCGCTGCAGTGACAGGTGGACACAGATGGACCTCGGCGGCGTACACAGCTGTGGCCTTCGCTGGGGAGCCGGGGCAGGGCCTGAGGCCCCAGACGGGCTGGGGAGGCCCCGTGTCCCCCTTATTTATTTGTGGCGTTTGTGCTGTTTTTCATTGTTGTTTTCTTGAGTTAGGGGCCAAATCTAGAAAAAGTGGTGTCAGCCTGAGCTCCACGGAACTTTGTTTTTCTTTGTGTTTACCAGGAGGGGAGAGAAGGGAGCAGTTTTTTTTTTTTATTTTTAGTGTAACTGTGAGTGAGTGTGTGAGTGTGTGTGTGTGTGTGTGTGTGTGTGTGTGTGTGTTGTGGCAGTTTGGCAACATAAAAAGATTGTGTTTGCCTGGTAGAAGCTGCAGGACCCTTGGGGTCTGTCTTCCAGGTGGGTGTGAGTGGCAAGGGGCAGGCGAGGGCTTCTGTGTCCGGGTCCTTCCAGGCTCCTGGGGCCACCGGGCCAGCCCCGGGCCTTGCTTCCTGTGTTTCATGCCTAGGTGACAACAGGGACCATGTCCCTCTCTAGGATCTTGGTTTTTGTTTTCAGGACAGGGAGCTGCCACGCTTTCTGTGGTCTCTCCCCGGGGCCGTGGTCTCAAGCTAAGATTTCCACCTGGACGTGGCACCCAGAGGGGCTTGACCACGGCCCCCAGGTGTGCTTTACCAGGAGTGTGCTGTCGGTCTTGCTGGTGCAGTGGCGATGGTTCACGTCGTGGTTGCTCAGAGCACCTTCCTGCCCGAGCCTCACCCCTGGGCGCAGTTTCCCTGTTCCCTGCCCACAGGTGGCCCTGCTGTGAGCCGGCAGTGCCGTGGGCCCTCCCTTCCGAGCTGAACTGGCAGGAAGGTTGGCCCGAGGGCCAGGGAGTGTGTGTGTGGCGGGGGGGCCCTGAAGGGGCTGGTCCCGGCGAGGAGCAGTCTGGCCTTCCCCACGCGTCCTGGCTCTGCAGCCGCGGCTGCCGGCTTTGCAGCCCTTGTTAGCTGACTCTGCATCTTTGCTGTTTCTCTCTCTCCCCCCCCCCCACAAGGAAATGCAGCGTTGAGGAGAAAGGGGGGCTAGGGAGCATCATCGTCTGCCTCGTTCTCTCTCTCTCTCTCTCTCTCTCTCTCGGAGCGGAAACAAACAGGAGAGCCCCAACTCAAGGAGGTGGCAGTGCCACCCAAGGGTTGGCAGGCGGCGCTTGGGGTTTTGCAGGTGAATTTTGGTTGTGTTCATCGACTCCGTTAAGCGGCTGCTCCTTGTCATGGGAGACCCTGGCCTCCGTGAGTGCCCCCTCCGGTTCCCATCCCACTGTGTACGGCCCAGACTGTTGACATTTTTTACGAGGTGGCGCTCGCCACGTGGGCTGTGGTGTCCTTACCGACTTCTTCGAATGCTTATGATTTCATGTTAAAAAAAAAAACGCTTTATGTAGAAATCCTACAAAGGGGGCTGGTGCCAGCCTTGCCCTGTTACACTTTCACTTGAAACTTGGCCCCGTGACAGTGTTTTGGGGCAGGGGAGAGGTGGCTGGCCCCGGCGGCTGGCCCAGAGGAGACGTTATTGATTAATGAGGAGGCAGTTTACTTGATAATTTGGAATGTCCTTGAGAATTTTCCTTGCAACTTTTTTTTTTCCCCCCCAGTAGTATGATTGTTAAATGCCCAGTTTTGCTGGGGTTTTTCTTGTTTTATTTTGTTGTATTGGGTTGTCTGGGTTCCGTTTTCCGTATGAAGGGTAGGGTCTTGTTTTCCAAAATGGAATTGAGGAAAACCAGCTGGGCCCAGAATTAGACGTGGGTGTGAGTGGGTGTGCTTGTTCTTTGGGTTGTTTTCTCCTCGAGGCTTGTATCTTGAATCAACAATTGTGCATGTTATTTAAGAGAAAAAGTGATTTGTTTGGTTGGTTGTTTGGCCTCAGCATCGTGGGAGCATTTGTTTTTCAGAAGAGGTCCTGGGCTGAAAGAACAGCTCGGGTTGTGTACTACGTGCCTTTTGGTATCCTACACACACACACACACACACACACACACACAGTTTTTCCCCAACAACTTGAAAACTCAAAAGGGACCTTTGGTTTGCGACGGGAGACCGTCTGTCCCTCCGTGGAAACGGCAGCTGCTTCCCTTGGGCCACTGTCTACATTTGTCCTGGGTGGTTTCGTGTTTTTTTACATAGAATTTTTATACCGAAAGATTCTCAGATGGTCAGTTTTATACACGGACTCAACCGAAGAGCACTTTGCCAAAAATAAGTGTAGCGTTGCTCCGACGCACCTCGACTCCAGTCCTTTCTCGCGGGGTGTTTGGCGTCCTCGGGTCATGGTCTTTGTCTGTCGATGAATAAAGATGTCCTTTGACTTCACCTAGCAGTCTCTGTCGCTCTGTACGTGGCCGCCGCTCGCTGGGTTCTCAGGGAGGGAAACCAGGGCCCGCGCTGTCCCCTTCCCCAGCCTGGGGCCCGCTCACACCACTGCCTGGTTGTGTCATGGACATGACATAGCTCAGGGACTCGAGTGATCCCCGGCACCGTGGCCCTGAGCTCTGGCGGCCCCCAAGCCCTGTCAGGGCTGCCCGCCTGATGAACCCTGCGTTGCCTGCCGGGTTCAACATTGGACCACCTGCCCAGATGGCCAAGTGTCACCGGGGGTGGCCCCTGTACCCCATGAGCAGTGTTCAGACACTCCCCAGGCACTCATACTCGCACACACACTTCTTGGGAAGAGCGACAGCACCTTGCACCTGAATTCTTTTCTTCTTCTGGTTTTGGGGCCACACCTGGCGATGCTCAGGGATTACAGGAATTACTCCTGGTGGTGCTTGGAGCGGGGAGGGACACAAATCCGGGTCAGCGGCGTGCACAGCCAGCACCCAACCTACGGTCACCTCTGCCCCCCTTTCACCTGGATACTGGCCCCCAATTATTGTCTCTCTAGTAAGGGGAACCCCAGTGCCTGGAGAAGGGGCCCCTTGGAGGCCGGGCAGGTGGAGGTGGACCTTGGGATATCTTGAATATCACATGAAGGCAGATGATCCTCGAATCATGGTGGGGGTGTGTGAGAGAGACGCAGGTTGCTGTGCGGGGGGCGGGGAGGCTGCTAGAAGCACCTCCCAGCAGGTGCCCCCACACCAACGGGCAGAGGACAGGAGAGAGACTCAGCCCACTGGGGGAGGGAAGACACATACACATACACACCCCCGCCGGCAACAACTGCACGACGAGCGGAGACAGTCTGGCGGGAGGCACTGAACATGCACTGGACCCATTCAGTCCCCCGCACGAAGAGGGTCCCCCGAGCCCACCAAGAGTGAACCCTCAGCACCACGGGGTGAGGCCCCCAAACAAAATGGGCTGAGGAGAGAAGATAATGAGGGGAAACCATGGCCATAACCAGAAAAGGACTGTGGGTGATTTCATTTTAGTTTAAAATAGCCCACCCCTACCCCCCCGGAGCGATGGCACAGTGCACAAGGCACTTTCCTTGCACACCTGCAATCCGGGTTCGATCCCCGGCATCCCGTATGGCCCCCCCCAAGCACCGCCAGGAGTGATTCCTGAGTGCTGCCAGGAGGAAGCCCTGAGCATCGCCAGGAATGGCCCAAAAACAAAACAAAAAAATATACCCGCCCCCATTCAGATTTTCCCCTTAAAATGTTCTCTTCACTACATGGAAAGTATCACGCTAAGCGAAATGAGTCAGAAAGAGAGGGACAGACATAGAAAGATTGCATTCATCTGGGGAACATAAAGCAACAAAATGGGAGACTAACACCCAAGAATGGCCGAGATTAGTACCAGGAATTTTGCTCCATGGCTTGGAGGCCAGCCACACGTGCTAGGGGAAAAGGCAGCTCCGATAGAGAAGGGAGCACCAAATAAAGGGTGTTGGAGGATCCTCCCAGGGTGGGAGAAGCATGCTGAAAGTAGACTATAGACCAAACATGATTGCCACTCAATGCCTCTCTTGCAAAACACAGGACCCAAAAGGAGAGAGAAAACATAAGGGAATGCCCTGCCACAGAGGCGGGGGGATGGGGGGATGGGGGGTGGGAGGGATACTGGGATCCGTGGTGGTAGGAAATGGGCACTGGTGGAGGGATGGGTACTTGTTCATTGTATAACTGAAACCCAAGCACGAAAATTTGTAAGTCCACAACTGTACCTCATGGTGTCTCACTAATAAAATTTTTTTAAAAAATGTTCTCTTCACTTTTAGTAAATGTTACATTTGTAGTATTTATGATATCCTGAATATTTTTAAATGGGTTACCACAGTTATTCCTAGTAATCTTTTAGCGTATATATCAGTAAAAACGATTCAGTTTTTGTAAACAATTTACAGACTTACTGTTAGCAATCAGACCGCAGTGTCTTACAGCAGAGAAGACAGGGGTCGGGCATGGCTGGCCCAGGTTTCATTTCTGGTACCACATACTGTCCCGGAGCACTGCCAGGAAAGCTGGGTGCGGCCCCCACAACAACCACCAAAAAGTTATCAGCAACCTTAGGGGTGTTCACCCTCCTTCCTTCCAGCTCGGACCCCCGCTCTGCACCACCTTGGTCACTGCCATGGTTTCACCTCAGAATCCTTTCAGCCCAGCTCACAGCGGCCCAGAGGTGTCACTTCAGAATCTCTCTCCTCGCCCAGCCCACAGCGGCCCAGAGTAGACTCAGGCTACCCTAGGCTGCATCTTGCTGGGCCAGGGTGGGCTAAGCTGAGGGGAAGTCTGTTTGGTCACCCTGGGTGTCCCTCAGATGATGCCTCTTCTCTCCTCACTTGAGGCCCAGGCTTTTGTCCCGAGCCAGAAGTGAGGAACGCCAGCATCAGAGAGTTGTGTTGACTGGTGAGTTTGTGCTGGCCAACCAAGCAGAACTCTGAGCAGAGGGGCTCGGCTCCCCGGGGAGCCCTCAGTCAGGTCAAGGGGGGGGCAAGTCTTCCCCAGTTTCTAGTCTTGGTTCCCAAGCTCACACAGGAACTCCCGTCTGCACGCAAGCAGACTCCCAGGCTTTTCCTCAGAAACTCTGATGACGTGCCATGTAAAAGGAAGGTCACTGGGAGGCCCGAGTGGGAACAGTTCTGTGACTGGGCAAGTGAGCGTCTACTGCTTGCGATTCCTGAGCACTGAGCCAGGAGCGAGCTTGAATGCCACTGGGTGTGACACAAACACAAAACAAGAGGAATCACTATTGTTCACGGCCAAGAACAGGATCCTATACGTGGCCCCAACACCCCCAACATCGGGACCCTGAAGCGTGCAACCTCGAGAGACCGGCCCAGGGCGGCTGCAGACACTGGCCCCAGGACAGTCTCACGAGCCCCGCAGAGGCCAACGCGTGTTCACGGGCCACACTCCGAGTGTGAGCTTCTGACTTGGTCTCCAGTGCACAGCCATGGAGCTGGGGCCTCGGTGCTGGCCGGGCCTGGCCACCCAGTGGGGCCTGAGAAGCCGGAGTTCCTCACGGTCCCGTGCCTGCAGCTGGCCACCACACCCTGCAGATGACAGGTGGGGAAACTGAGGCCTGGGCGCGTCCTGCAGCCCCTGCTTCTCCCCAGGTTGACTGCAGATGGCCACCAAGGGCTGGCACTGCGGACAGTGAGCTGGCACGTGCCAGGGAGAAGGCGGCCGAGCGGGGTGCGGGGCTGGGCTGCCACGCTGAGCTCCCCTGGGTGGAGCTCGGGGGTCTCACTGTGGCCCCCTGCAGGCCACTGGGGAGCATGTCTGATGCTGGGGGCTGGTAGGGGGGCAGCCTCCTCCTCCTTAACACCTACACCTCCACCCGTGGGACACGGGACATGGCGGCAGGGCATGGAGGGGGCGCCTGGCAGGGTGGGCCCGCGGGGTGCTGCGCCCTGGGTTGGGGCTCGCCCAAGGCTCCCGGCTGGACAGCAGCTTTTCCTCCAGCACTCCCAAGGGGGGGCGGGTCGTGTTGGGGTGGGCAGTGCCAGAGAGTGTGGGGTGAGTGTTTAGGGGCCCCGAGTGGCCCCGGGGCAGACAGGCTGGCACGGAAGCTCAGGGCTCCCCCACTTGCTGGGGGCACCTGGGAAGTCAGCTCAGGAAACTGTGAGGCAGGGCTGCGGGGCGTGGCGTGGGCTGGAGGCAGCCGTGGGGGACATCACTGTCCCGCGTCCCACACGTCGCCCAGTGCCCCGGCCCGTGTCTTGGCCTGGGAAGGGCCAACCACACCCGGAAGCCCAGCGCGGGGCCAGGGGTGGCAGGGGGTGCGGGGTGCGCAGACCCCCAGCCCACCGGGCTCACGACGCAATCTGGAGGGGGGTCTCGGCAGCACAGGTGGCGAGTGGCTGTTCCAGGCGGGCCGGGCCACTCCCTGCTGTCGCCCCAGTTCCCCACTAGAGGGCGCCCCCACCTATTCCTGCCCCGCGGCCCTGTGCAGACTCCCTGAAGAGGACCCTGGGCTCAGGCACCCTCGGTGGCTGCTTCTTCCTGGTGGCACGCCTTAGGGCCTGCAGGCTCCTGATACTGGCCGCTGGCTGACCCCTCAAACAACGGCTCTTCCTCCTGTGGCCGTGTCAGTGGTGCTCAGGAATCACTCCTGGCAGTGCTCAGGGGATTGAAGCCGCCCGGGTCAGCCGTGCTCCAGGCAGGCGCCCCACCCACCCCGTCTCTCGGCACCCCCTCCCCACCTTCTTGCCTTCTCTAGCTGAAATGCCATCTGCCCCGCTGTGAAGCTGGCGGTCCCACCCCACCCCACCCCTTTCCTCAACAAGGCACGCGGCAACATCTCTGCTCTCCCTGGCCTGCCTGAGTCTCGGGTCGGTGTCTCTGTCTGCAGGGACACCCCTGCCCGGGCGTCTGGGTGGCTCCTGACATCTTCTCCCATCAGCCACTACGAGCTTTGGGGGTGCAGAACCTTCATCCAGGGCGGTTACTGGTCTCTGGGCCTTGCTTACCACCTTCTCTGTTTTCTAGATCTTTTTCTCTTTTTGGGGGGGGGGTAGGGGGAGGCTGGGGGGCCCAACCGGCAGCGCTCAGGGCTCACTCCTGGCTCTCTGCTGCAGACCCCTCCCGGTAGCTCGGGGTTGAACAGGGGCTGGGGATGGGACCCGCTCGCAGTGTGCACGCGCCCTGCCCTGGGCCTGTTTCTTTCTTTTTCTTTTTCTTTTTTTTTTTTTTTTGCTTTTTGGGTCACACCTGGCAATGCGGGGCCCCATGGGATGCCAGGGATTGAACCCAGGTTGGCCATGCAGAGGGCAAACGCCCTCCCTGATTGTGCTATCACTCCAGCCCCGTGACTTCCTTTTCTTTCTTTCTTTCTTTCTTTCTGTCTTTCTTTCTTTCTTTCTTGCTTTCTGCGTCACACCCGGCAATGCTTAGGGGTTACTCCTGGCTCTGCACTCAGGAGTC